CGACGACGACCCGCTGTGAGTACCGGGGTCTCCCCGGCCGCCTCCCCACCCTCCCCCGAGGCGGAACAGCCGCTGGCGACCGAGGCGCTGGGCAGGGACGGGCGGCGGCGTTTGCCTTGTCGTCAGCTGATTTCCTTTCTTTTTTTTTAAATTTCTTCTCCCCCTTTTCAGGGAGGAACACAAAAAGCACTCCGCGGGCTGCGCTTTTCTCTCCCTGCAGAAGGACCCCGCTAACCTGACGCTGCAGGAGTTCCTGAGGCTGGACAAGGAGCGCATGAAAAACGCCATCGTATGTACCCGCCTTCGCCGCCATGTCTTCCCGCGACGCTGCGAGGGTTATTTGTCTCCTGGTCTGGGGGTTGTTTAGCTGGCCTCACGGCGCCGCGCCACGGCAGTGCTGCCAGAGCGGTTTGTTGGCTCCTGGGCCCTGGCCGTTGCCTGGCGGGAGGCATAGCCCGCCTTCCCCTCAAAGCCGAGCGACGCTCCATTCAGGGGCAGGCAGTAATGTGTTATTTTTATTCTTTGCAGAGAAGCCTGGGGTTTGATGTGCTGCCTACCTTATCTTTTTCTGCAGGGACTCTCCTGTTCTTCCTGTTGGTTTAATTAAGGATTGCTACTTGTGGTTTTATATGTGTTTGGGTTTTTTTCTTTTTTTAAACCCAGCTCTTTCCATTTTGGAGATGCTGGTAGCTCTGGTGCAGAAACTCGTGTTTCTTGCAAGAGCTGGCAGGCACTTCCATTTTTATATGGAGTATACCAATGCTTTTGGATCCTTTTGGAAATAAAAAGGGGAAGGAGTTTCAAAACTCCTTCAGGGATGTAGGATTGTGGCTAGTAATGTCTGATTATACCAAATCTTAGTGTGCCTGGTATCGTTGTAAACTTCTGTTTGTACTTGGCTGCTGCCTCCTGTTGATGTGTTTATAAATAAAAGTTGAAGGCAAAACAGCAATTTTATTCAGTTTGCTGGAGGAATCTGACCTTTAATGCAATGAGCTGCGCTGAATGCAGTTTTAACTTCAAAATGGAAAGTAAGCTAATCAAAGTACAGCTTGTAGTGCTATTGCTCAAGTGTCAAACTGTCTTAAGCAGTGTTCATCAAGTCTCCCTAAAACGTCCTTGTGCCTTGGAAGGTTTGGTTGGTCCCTCTCCTTGCACAAGTTTGGAAAGGAGAAGAAATCTTGCAGAACAGAGCGCAGTCAGTGAATAATCGTGCTCTGAACTGCTGGGCAGGAATGGGGGAGTCTCGTACAAAATAGCTGCTGTTGTGGGGCCCGAGCTGATCGTGGAGGGTTGTGAAGTCTGCAGACAGAACTAGATGCGTGCACTTAGGCGCTCCCAAACCAGAGATCCTCCAGCTCCATCTCGGGGAAAAGGCGGTTGCAATCACACGCTGACGAGACCGATGTTCCCGGGTTTCGCAATTTAGTCCGACGTTCCCCGTCTAAGCTTACTTGCGAACAATGAAATAACTTCATTATTTCCAGCTGTAACAGCCAAATCATATGCTGATTGCCCTTTTGCATTCTTCTTTTTTATGCTTGCATTGCAGCTGTAAATAAAAACCAGATTGTTTTAAACTACTTAAAATTCATTCCAAGTTACTGGAATTAGTGACGTGGCTTGTAGGTAAATGCTGACGCAGCGCCACTTCAGAACTTCTGGGTGCCTCTTCCCGCAAGGACACAGCGGTGAGATGAGAGTGCTGAGCCTTGGGTGGGTTCTGGCCCTTCTGCATCGCCAGCCAGCTCCGCGCTGGTGGGCCGCGGACAGCTGAGCTAGAGGCCCCGCTGCCGCACTTACCCTAGCAGGGCGCGGGTGCACTCCTCGCCCTCTGGTCCGAGCAGAACCGCCTCGTGGAGGGCCGCGTTGTTGTGCCTGCACGGGAGGAACGAGCGATGTACTTATTGCCTGAGGAAACCATCCTGGTAGGTGGAGAAACAGTCTAGCAAATTAAACTAAGGAAAATGAATGGGAAGATATAGAATACGCTAGGAGTCCCGGGGATTTTTTTTTGGGGGGGGGGTAGGCTTTAGGGTGGCTTTTCTTATTAAGGGGGAGGGGATG